ACTCCCAGAATTCCCCAGCCAGCATGGGAGTTGAAGTCCACACATCTTAAAGTTGCTGAGGCTGAGAAACATTGCTCTGGATCAGTATGATTGTTCAGTTCCTGCAATCAATATTTAAGCATAACAGAAAAATCCATGAATCAACTGTACCCCAATTCACTTTGACTTAATTCAGAGATAGTGCTTGTCCTGGCATTGTCCAGGGGCCCCCTGCACCCCCCAAAAACACTATTTGAAATTCAAGGGTCTTTGGCTATAGCTCATTGAGGTTTTACAGGCCTAAAGGGCCAGGCTCAAGGTATCCACAGATGGATTGTGGAGAAAGGACTTTGGCTGAAAACGTGGGAGCAAATATGATGTCTGAGCTTGGTGTAATGATGTGGAAAAGGCACTCCCTTACGCTCCTCTTACTTTATTCTCAAAAGGAAGGAAGGCAGGGACAGGTCATCCTCGTTTAGTGACCACAATTGGGACCAGCAACTTGGTCATTAAGCAAAGCGGTCGCTAAGTGAAACCATGAACATGCTTATGATCTTCCTTCAGCTTTCCTTGGCTTTACAGACCTGCAAAGGTTGTAAATGCTAGGATTGGTCATAAACTTACTTTTTCATCACCGTCAGAACTGTGGACAGTCACTAAATGAGGCAGTTGTTAAACAAGGGGTGGAGGGAGGGAAACTGATAGATGGGAAAAAAGTTTGCCCCATGTTGTAGAATGGGATTAAAGCTGTTTTCTAAGACTGAGCAAGTGGAAGACAGAGAAATCGTGAGCATCATAATCCTGCAGCAAAAGTCTCACTAGGGTCAAGATTAATGGATGTGTCTCTGAAGCATTCATGGCGGTGATACAAAAGTGGTACAAAATGCTGGATGACAATGATGATGATGATTTTGACTTCCCAATCTAGTTCCAGCTCTGGGATTTCCAGGAGTCTCCCATCCACGTACGAACCAGCCCTGACCTTGCTTAGCTTCTGAGCCGCGACCACGTCCCTTTCCATGGAGGCTCTGGCTTTGAAACCTCCTCCTTGCTTGGAGCTGAGCCTGGGGCCCCGCAGTTCACAGGCGCCCCTGCTCTTCCAGCCCCCGTGACTCCCCCCACCCTCTTTCTCTGCCCCCCCGCAGGATGTCGGAGCCGCTGCCCTTGTCCTACGTGACGGCCCAAGAGATGCGCTGCCTCCTGCACTGGCTGTTGGGCTGGACCCCCGCGCAACGCGAGCGCTTCCTCCGAGACCTGGTGGACAAGGCCGTCCCGTGGAAGGTGCTCCCCCTGCTGGAGGGCCTGGCCGGACTCACCGTGGGGCCTGGAAAGCCCCCCTCCATTTACGAGTGCCAGATGCGTCTCTGGGACCAGTGGTTCCGCCGCTGGTCGGAGGCCGAGCGCAACGAGTTTGTGAGGCAGCTGGAGGAGGAGATGCCGGACCTGGCCGGGCGCTTTTACCAAGAAGTGGCCGCGACCGCAGGACAGCTCTGATGGGGCCGTGGCTCTCCCTCCCGCCCCCTATTTTGTACCGACTCTTCTTGACGTCCTCAGCGTGCTGCTGTTAAATGAAATGAACGGCATTCTGTGTGCAACCCTGAATAATATGAATAAACATTGTTTACAAGACCCGAAGGATTAAATGCTCAGTTGTCCTGAAAATCAGTGACCCCTGCAATATCTCCCCCTTGTCCTCTTTTCTATTCCTTTCCCCTCCTCTCCTTCCCTCCCATTCCTCCTCCCTCCCTCCTTCCCTCCCTTCCTCTTTTCTATTCCTTTCCTGCCCTCTTCCCTCCTTCCTTCCCATTCCTCCTCCCTCCCATTCTCTCTCCCTCCCTCCCTCTTTTCTATTTCTTTTCTCCTTGCGCCTCCCCCCTTTCTGTTTCTCAGGTTGTCTTGTG